AAGGCCTGCCATATTCTGCCATTTTCAGCTGGTGAGGAGTGGCTAAACAGAGATGTAAATTTGCGGTAATTGCAAACTGCAGAAATTCTTTCTCCTCAATCTTCCATGACTGAGCAGTAACAAAGAGAAGTGCAAGTAATTTGTGGCTGAATGAGAACTGGTCAAGTGACGACTTCACAAAGCTTCTCTGGGGGGATATCGCCGCTTCTCCGTCGCGACATTGTCAGAAAAGCAGCTTTTGAGAAACATCCTGGAGTTGTTAATCCTATCACCTCGGGCGTTTGTTGAGTGAAAGTCGATGTGGGGAAGAAGCCTTCTAACAGTGAGTGAAAATCCATTGTCGGATGATGGCCATTATCGCTCAAGATAAGAAGGGGACAGTATGCGAAAATCCCGAGAGCTAACTGCGAAACCTAGCAATGAGTAGAACTTAGAGCCCTCTTCAGATGATAGCTGTCTCGCCAAGAAGAGCAACACCGTTTTCTTCAGCTCTATGGGCTGTGTCCTGTAGCAGACCGCTCCATCCAGATAGTACTAGTGTGATGCCAGCAGTAGTCCCTGCATAGCTAGAAGAAGCCGTAACTTGAACTCGTGTTTCGCGTCAGCACTGGAACCACTTCCCGATTTTAGCGGCGCTATTCGACCATACCGCACAAAATTAATGAGGGGTGAGTATTAGAAGACGACTATCAAATGAATGATCCTCCTTGCACAACTGACCTTAGACGTAATGATCTGATCCAAAAACTGTCGTTTTCTTACCAAAAAAGTCTGAAGTTTTTTTGGGGAGGCAATACCATAGGGGATGCGCCCACGCATCCATTCGCGCCCGTAAAGGCGTATTGGATGAGTATGTGTCCTGTACACTAACTTGCCTATGTATAGCCAATGTGCAACAGTGCTTTTACTCTTCCAGACGAGTCTGGTGCCAAATAATCGACCCCCGAGGGATGGTGGTCTAGTTGGTATCGATTCGGGATTCGATCCCGTGACCATGCATGTGTGATAGTGCGCCACTTGCCAATACACACATCTGCCCCTTTATTACCAAAAGCAAAATAATCAGCAACCTTGGCGAAGTCAAGTGTGAGTGTACTGACAGAAATCATATTATGCGGCTCTGTTTTTTGGAAAGTCCGAGTTGGTATATCCTTTGTTTTACGGTTTTTTACTTGATGTGTTGCAGAGAAATGATAAAATTTTCTTAAAACTTTGTAGACGCTCATACTATAGGTGGTTTTAATGAGCTATGCAATTACATTTCTAAATAAAGCCTGTAAGCGATTTAAGCGAGCGATTTTTAGCCAATACGCTTGTTAGGAGGGGGCAGTAGTGATTAACCTTCCCTCATTCTTCTAAAATCCACACGATTCCATTTGCAGTAGTGTGCCACGTCCCTTCCCCTTCCTTCGCCCTCTTCGCCCCACTTCCTTCTGCCCTTCGATAATCTCGATATAGAGGGCCACTATGCAATCGTTGCGTGCAAGAATGTTAGGCCGGTGGTGTTTTGCTCATTCGGAAGAGTCAATGGGAGTCGTTAGAGGCCGATAACGGGCTCTGGACACGAAGAACGAAGACAGAGACATGGAGAGTGTGTGAAAATTGGTTGAGTAGATCGAAGCTGACTATGAACAACTGGTAGAGTAATAAAGGGACATTGAATGGTAATAGACTGGGGATCGAAGAAACAGCAAATCTTAAGAGAGAGTGAGGAGATCATCATTCATAGTAGATAGTAAACTATGTGCGTCGAGGTTGAGAGAGGGGCAGATAGTGACACCTTTGGGAGAGAAGAAAACAAAAACGGGGAAATGATGAATAGAAGTACACAGTGAAAAAGCTATGCAGAAGCTAAGGCGGAATCAGGAGGTATGATTTAGAAAGAAGACATGGTGAAGGAGACGTCGCTATGTGGCTCAGTCATGGTAGGGCCATTTCAGTGGTTCGTTTTGCAAGTAGGCTTTGCAGTTTCTGGTAGGGCCGCAAATGATGCTAATAGAACTGCATTCAGTCGAAGCATTGACAGCCTTCCGAGGAAGACCACCTAAGAAAGCCATTTCCGATGTTTAGAAAGAAACGAGTACCTGAAAAATTTGCAGATTCGTCGACTCCGCGGAGAAAGCTCAGCGGCACCAGGCGCCGATAACGCTCTAAATCCTACGGGGATCACTGATACCTGAATCAACAAACCCTTAAAATCCGCTAATATCCGACATACCGGATTACTAAAGTAAAAAGAAATTAGTTTATGAAAATGCTGTTACCTATTTTGAATTGATGTTTTGTTAACTGCTGTTACTTCGCCGCAGTACGCGACAGAATGTCTCAAAAGATTGGCCATTCCTGGACAAAACTTTCTCGAACCCATGCTTGTGCTATCCGAAATCTATGAAAATACTTTTGCCCACAGGTCATTCTGTGCACAAGAACAAATTTTAAAGTATACACTAATAAATGGGAGACTCCTTTAAATAATTCAAAGCTTCACTTTTCAAGGATAGTATAGAATTTGAATGTTTGAAGAGCGATCTGTTGGGCTGATTGTTCCGCTATCTTTTTGGGGTAAGCGGCATTTCATTCTACCTCACGATTTTAGGCTCCGAGTCCCTTGTCACCCAGCCTTTCCATGTTACAGTACCCAACCAACTTGTTCTGCGACTCTTCAAATCGGAGGTACTTTGCGTCAAGAGAACCACTGTGTGAGAGTCGCTACTTTCCGCAGGGAACAGCTTAGACGGCACAAATTCAAAAACGAGGTTGTCACGGTAAATCCCGACCATTCCCGAATGGTAGAGCCAAATGATTCTAAAAGACCTCGAAACATTAAAAAAGCGCAATCCTTCGAGTCAAATGCTGCAGTGTGATCACCCCTATGTTAGAACAGATCCCCCCTTGCCTAAATGAAAACTTCACTCCAGCCTTTTGCCGACCTCCGATTCCACCACACCAATGCTGTCACTGCCAAAATTTCGGTGTCGATCTGCCCCAAGCTGGGCATTGCAAGCGGGTGTCGGAAGTCAGCGGTGAGCTAGTACTGCCTGAATGCAGCCCCTATGGACCAGCTAATAGACTGGCTGTGTTACAGCGCCCGGCTATAACGTTGGAAGAGATACCCGGGACTAAGCCGAACGCTAACAGCACAGTGCCGAAGCCCTCTAAAGGATTCGTGGTCAATAAAACCTTCGAACCTCAAATGTCTACACCCAATTTAGAACCCTTGTCGTCGTCGACGCGCGTGGGACGTAGTTGACCAGCAAGCTTTATATTCGTCGCCGAGTTCTCATTACCGCATATGAATGGGTGGTGCGACCACTGCTAGTTTTTCTTTTGTTCAATATTATTGTTTTCTATTACGTTTTCGGTTATTGATACCTATCTTATGCGTATAGCAAACTGTTAAATCGTTCAAGAAGTCTGTTACCCGATACATTTCCTACTGTTACTGCCTTAACTTAATAGCTAGGAACGTGCGCACACCAGTAACAAAAATGTCGCAGAACTTCAACAAGGATCGATGTACTAGTGCACTCTCAGAACGTTTATGTTCCACTCATCGAATCTCTAAGGAATTGCGACTTACCTACTCTCGTTTCTACGATTTATTGGCGCTTTACCACTATTACGTCGAGAACGTCCTTGAGAGATTCTCTTGACTTGGTCAGCTTTAGAAACTCGAAAGTGCGAGGAATTTCCATGATCTTCGGTTTTCATCCATATCTGCGGAATTCTAGTACTTGCGCATTGTCCCAATTCCCAGTCTCTTATTGTAAAATTGAATTCGTTTTCGTTATTGAGGTCGATTGAGGCTACTATAAACTTTGCTGAGTGAGGCGGCGATAGGAGTATGGGTGGGTGGAACGTCACATTCCATAAGCGTCTTTGGAACTGGAAATTCGACATTTCAATCATTACAAACTCTTGATTACTTCCCCATACACTATCGAACTCCCACACAATTTTTTTTGGTTCATTGTTCTGCTTGTGATCGGCAGATGCACTAACAGTCAGTCATTTACACTTTACTCACGATAATAATGCGATAATGTCGTAACGACTTCGATTTTAGGAAATCTAAGTGTAAATTTATCCCTGCTGACCGCTAATTTAATTGATCTAGTGACAATATTGTACCCAATTATCCATGCCGCACCCTGTGATAGTTAGCTCAAGTTAAAAATGATTATGGTTAGCTGTAGTTTTGAATATCATCTTCTTGTTTATTATAGCTTGAAAACTATTTCTGGAACTCTCCCAAGGATTCACAGGCTATGAGCAAACGAGGGACTCTGCTTCATTGAGGGGCGTACAAGTGAGCAGAAATCTGTTTACTGCCATCCTACTTCCCTTCCTACATAGTCTTTTGTTCATTTCATTTTCCATTTTGTGTATCCTTCGAAGTGATGGTCTTTACGCTTACCCCACAATCGCGGGTTTTGCTGTCGGTTATTCTCCTGGAAATTCCAGACTAAATTTGCTATATGTATACATATACACTGATTTGGGAGGATGTGACGTTGTGGCAGGTGGCATATTTCTCACACACATGGTCACGGGTTCAAACCGGATCGATGCTCGCCTAGACCAACCAAGTCTTCCATGCCTTCGGGGTCGGTACCAGGCTCTGGGAGGATCAAAGCACTGTCTTGTACATCGGCTGGCCATCGAAGCCATTGTACAGGCCGCATACGCATTCAATACGCCTCTACGATTTTGAATGGAAGTCGGATGCATGGGCGCATCCCTTAGACGAGTTTGATTAACGCCCCAGAACTTTATCCTTTGTCTTTTTTATACACTAATTGTGAGTAATAGCGTAAAGAGCGAACGTTTTTCGCTTTTTCTTTTCCAGAATGCTCCTTTAGAAACTGTTTTCTTTAAGCTCGCCCTGTAAATTATTGAGGTCTTTTTTTTATTACAGGTATTCAACTTACTTTTCAGGACAGCGTTTTATGTTTGTGTTTTCCTAATATCGGTGACTGATTCATGTCACCATCACCGTCATGATTGTGCGACTGGATCCCTGTGGTTTAGTATGCGTTGTTATGATATATGGATGCGTAGTATATGCCGATTATGTCGTTACGATATGGATGGTCATGCCAGTGTTCGGAAATACGTAAGTGCGGTTTCCAATATCTGTCAAATATTCTGGATAAAAGTTCAGCTTGCTAACTTAGTTCCCTTTTCGCCATAATTATTCTTAATCGCAAATCCTCATGAGAAAAAAAAGATGTATCACAACTTAGATAAGAAGAACATATGGAAAAGAGCGGTGTAGGGGTCATAGTATCTTTTTGGCTTTCTTTTTGCGTGCTCCAGCAGAGTGTACAGTCCTTTTCGCGTCTGTTCACGCATTTTTTAGGTCTAATTGATTGCCTCTATTGGTCATCACAATTTTTTTTCCACGAAACTTCATTTCTGTAATCATTCAGAATCGTCCTTTCTAGGAATAATCATTTAGGCTACTTCACTACTCGGTGGGGTAAAAAAATGGTTACTAAAGTCATAAAAAGTCTATTTTCAAGACACCTTTGCCTGCGTTTCTTTCTTTGCTTTCGTACCAAGCCCGTTTCATTTTCATACTATTGCTGGTCTCTTTTTATGTAAGTTTCCAATTGAATCACCCTTTTTATCAAAAAATTCGATCCTAGTGGGAGTCAAAGAAGTGAACTTTCCATTTGAAGTACTCCATTCATGCTCTTTGTCTTCCGCCTATTCGGCATCATACTCTGTCATTCCACTTGAATGCTTCGATGAATGCGTACTTCAAGGTCATATGACAAAGTAGGGAGTAATGAACACAATCGTTTACGCAGTCATTAAAATAAATCATGTGTAAGAAAGCTCTCGATGACGTTTTCCCTGCATTTCATTTTTTCAGCATTTGGGGCGCATTCCATATCGCTTTATTCAACACTCTCATATTCATGACCCTTTTCTCCCACGGACGAACCATGTTAACGGATCCAGGAGTAGTTCCTATTTTGAAAAATGGGTAAGATAGGTTTAGATCTTACTTCTCTTTTCTGAGTGATAGAAGAAGTACAGGAAATTGATCATACTTACTCCTGTACTGTCTCGTAGTCATTCATATCTGTTCCAGCGTTTTCCACGACAGGTCAGCAAATGTGGGTTCGTTGTCTTCTTCGTCTGAAGACGATGTGAGTGACCGGGAAGCGATGATGTTGCGAAGTCGCAGTGGAACAGTGGTATATTTTTTATGGATTATTTTAATAGAAGTTATCGGGGCAATGATAAGGCCTTGAATAGTTTATTGGTTTTCAAACTGCAGCGATATTCACTAACGGGGTTCCAGTTATGACCGGCTATGGAGATCTCCCTCCTTCGAACTTATTTTGGTCCTGTGGGATTCTCTCTTCTGCATCTCCTCATTAACTAAGTTATCACAAAGAAAGCTTTATAATTAGTACTTAGGATATACGCCAGTGGCATTTTCATCACACACAAATGAACGAGCGCGTTATGAGAAGATGCAAGTGATCCTTCTCTACTTGCTATCCATTTTACAACCCGAAAAGTAGGGTTATGGGTAGAGCTATTTGAAAGCTGACAACCGAGACATTTCTTTCGCTTTTTAATTTAAAAGGTTTATTCAATGTCTTTTCCAGGGTGACTGGACTATGTGCACTCGATGTGAGTCCTTCCGACCTCCTCGTGCTCATCATTGTCGGGTGTGCCGTCGATGCATTCGCAAAATGGACCACCACTGTAAGATGCTACATTCAAAGCCTCACGTTTTTTTTATCAATCTTAACTTGATCTTTTTGCACCTTTAAAACCCAGTGTTCTCGTGGCCTTAGCTATAAATGATTTTCCTCCATCTTGACTATTCTATTTGATGTTTTCCATTAGTTGGAATGGGTTTTCAAATAACATCATTTTTGTTGGGGTGCCCCGTCATTTTGAGGTCGTTTCTCTCGTTCATCCATTATCGCGAGCTTGTTGGCACGCTATAAAGATGTAATAGAAATGGCTAACGAGTCTCCATCTTTTATGAAACGATTGCATGATTCTATAATTTCTTTTCAGGTCCATGGGTGAATAACTGTGTAGGAGAATTCAATCAAAAGTTTTTCTTACAATTTCTTTTCTACGTTGGATTGTCCAGTTGTTATTCAGTATTGTGAGTGATTTTATTCATTGTGGTGGTTGTTAAATTCCCGGAGCTCTTTTAAGACCAAAAGTTCCTCTCAGGGGACACAAGAAAAAGATGAGGGGAATAGAACTCGTATATTTCGGTAGAGAACGAGGTCTTGAGGAAAAGCCTGTTCATCATTACTCAACACACCCATGAAGAAAACGTATTGACCGTCTTCCTATTTTGTTTATCGCATTGCAATAATGGACAACAAGTCCAATAACTGGTTTATAAGAGTGCAGTATCAAACGGCTAAAGCAAGCATATTTAATTAACTTGCTTAATGAGAACTGGTTCAGAGTAATGGTTTTGTCCTGGGTTTACGATGACGAATTCGCCTCTACAGGTCTGAAAGGGCCTTTCGGAGAAAATGCGCACCATGCGAAAGTGTAAGTCTTGCTGCATATCTTTAACAATCGGTTATATTGTTTGTTATTTCTGATACGTACATTACAGGTTGCACTCCATTTTCTTAGCTATGGAAAGTGCTCTTTTTGGAATGTTCGTGATGGCGGTTTCCTGCGACCAGGTTCGTCATTTTTCACTATGTGTTTGGGCGTGCAAATTTTGCATTAATAATACTTCGGGCTATTGAAAATTCAACACGTCGCGTCGTTTTGCCATTGCGAGAATTTGTGTAGGAGTTTCGCAGTGATTTCTGGAGTTTGGTCCAGATTATGCGCTCCACTTTCGCTGCGGTTAGATTGAAGGGGATTAGTATTCAGAAAGATTATTGGCAGTAGTGAATGATTAATTTCTGTGATTGGACCTCTTTTACTTCAAATTATCTCCTAGAGGCTTCATCGGGCATGTTGATGGTGGCTGCATTAAGACTTTGCATTTTACATTGCTCACGTACAATTTCCGTTGGCTACTTTCCGAGTCAACTCGGTGCACCATTTCCCAAGGTTCGATGGCCTGTATTACGGAATTCGATGTGTAAGGAACAAACATAGGAGGCGATCCCGAGAACTTAAACTTGTCTTTTCCACTTCGCTGTTTCGTTTATCAGTCGCTACTCATTGAATGCTTAGAGTATGACGGGATACAGCTCTTCTCTTCTCTGCAGAATCCACCCAAAGAGGAACGCCCCATGCTCTCATTGTCTGTTCATCAAATCAACCGAGTATTCGCTCTAATAGTAACTGCGACTGTTAGCTACACCCTGGACATTTAGCGTTATTGAAGTTGAAAATTTAGCAAACTACATGTAGAACGCTCGCAATCACTGATAAAGGCAGCGAATTTTGCATTGAGCTGAACTGAATTTGAATGAACTGATTTGTCGCGGTGACGCCAGCGGGTGTTGGCAACTGACATTGGCAATGTGCCAAAGCAAATTCTGAAAGCAGTTAATTAAACAAATTGGGAGCGCTGCTCTGGTGGAAGAGCGAAGGCAGGCACGGAATTGTCCCTGCCCCGTTTTTTTTTTTGTTTTGTACACCCTTCGCTTTTTTTGCCAGTGGATCCTTCTTTGGAACCACTACGCAGCTCTTATCTTCCCGAACTCGAACTTGAAAGATATGAGATTGTATGAATTTCCTGTGGTGTAGCAGTTGTGACATTCATGACAAACTATTTACAGTTAGGAGCGATATTCTCTGAGGAGACTGCAGTTGAAGCTGTGCAACGTAGAACAAAGCAGGCCTATAAAAGAATACGACGTCGAGGAAGGTTCTCACTTCTCAGTGAAGTTTGCGGCGGAGGTAAGATTTTTTGGTTTTCTTTGTCGTCGAATTTCATCAAACTTTTAGCTGAATCGCATCTTCACGTTTTTCAATCAATGCAGTTTATACGCCTGTCGTTGTTTTCGCCTGCTACGTATTCTCCTTTTTTGATTTCGAGCTCTTACGAGTCTTCAAAAATCGGCTTAGCTGCAGCTACGTAGTTTATCAAATTTGCTCTTATTTTGAAGTGACAATTGAATTTCAAAGTCTTGCGCTGCAATTGGTTACTCATCCACCAGTATTAGGCTTGGGCATCAAATGATGGGGATGTGATGTTCCAAATTATCGACCCTTTTTAAATTTTCTCATATTGGAACTATTCAATCAGGTTATACTCTAATTGTTAGAAAGTTGTAGGTCTTCATCCATTATTTGCAGTCGATTTCATCTGAGTGATTTCATCGAAAGCGCACCTGGACTGACATCTAACCTGCCACATTTTTAATTACTTTTTCAAAAAATACCGGTGACTAGGGAGTCAGTGACAAAGGTTGAATTGCTAATAGTCACTGACCCAGACCAATCCAACTGCTCGTTCTCCGGGAACCTTCGCCACAATCGACAGCTTTGTGTTTGTGCTATCGGCATTCTTAGAGACTTTGTGGGTACTTTGGAAAAGCGATGTCCCTATTTTTTTAACTGCTATGATAGCAAAAACATAGTGGTGTAGGAACTAATTGATTTCGTTTTCTTACGGTGGGAAAGGGAGATAATAGGGTACATGCAGAAGGCGGAGAGTGTAGAGAGAGATGTAATGAAATTCCTGTGATAAAGGTTTTCTAGTTGATTCGTGGTTTCTCGATCAAATCTCTTCAAGAGGTACGAAGTGGAGATAACTTACAATACGTTTCGTTGATCATCGGTGTCGTCACGGAGTGGGCCTTGTATCATGGGATTGAGTTGGGAATGATTTTACCAATCTGTTCGTCTGTGACTTATGGGCTTTGAATCGAGGGCAATTTTTTGTCGTTGCTCACGGAGGATTTTGTCTCTACTGACAGCTTCTTATTAGGACCGCGTTTATTAGTGCCGGTCTCACTCACTGAGGACCCTTGCGGTAATGGTTGACGACAGGTGTTATGAACAGAGCGCGGCCGCTCAACGGTCAACGCTATATTCTAAAAAAGTGCTATTTACCCTTTGCCTTTCATGGATCGACATACCGTCCGACAGGGACATACAGGGAAGGTAGATGGGATACAGAAGCCCTTTGATTGCTGTGTTACCTGTTTTGCTTCAACTCTCAACAGTGCCTAGCAAGGGCAGTGTTAAGTTACAGTGACCGTATCATGTGAGGATCCGAAAAGTATTAGGTTGATGCATAATTATTGCGGATTTTTTTGCGGCTTCTTTTTTCTCGATACGATTCGAAGTTCAAAATCGGCATTTTTCATAGGAATAATCTGCTTGCTTTCCTTAGCAGAAATGTTTCTAGAAAGTCATCCTCATACACGCTACGTCACCTCTATTTCTTCGAGAAAGGTTAAAAGTCATTCAGCCAAAGTCAAGTAAGGAATTGAACATGTTCCTACATCCGCCCTGTTCACCAACAGAAACTCCTATGGATTCTCACGTCAATCGTCCGTTGAAAGATAGGCCGACGAACAGAACTTTCGACGAAATGGTTGGCTTGATGGCCGACTTCAAGGCATGGATCACCTCCATGAATCAACCCCCCTCGCCTGTGGAATCAGACTGCTTAGCAATTGGGAAGCGGTGCTTGACGTAGGCTTACACCATAGAGAGGGAAAAATATCTTAATATCTTATTTATTTATTTACTTATTTATTATGAACACAAGGGTGCGCCATCAGCACCGGGAAGAAACTAGCATAAAACTACAATAAAAACCAACGAACACGAGGCCCACAGGGAAATAAGCTCACCTATAGCCATAAGTACGTGGAAAGGAAAGAGTGACTTAAAGAGGTAGGGTAAAAGAACGGGAAAAAGAAGGCAAGTTAGCAAACAACGAACAAGAACCGTATCCGATTAGGGTTGAGAACAAAGCAGGCAACTCAGAGTAGGAAATTCAAAAGTTCTCAGAGCAAGCAGTCTAAAAAGCAGTACAAGACGATATAGCGACACAGTAAGAATTCACACAGTCGCAGTACAAATTGCCGACCGCTGGACGTGACAATTACCCTCAGGCACAAAAGTCGAAAAATGGCTAGTCCATGCACACATAAACGAATACCTGAAGAAATAGTAAACAAAAGCAAAGCAAGGTAGGAGCAAGTAAGGCAATAAACAAGGTAAGGTGGCTCAACCGGGTAAACTTAACAGATGTTCGAATGTAGACAATGTAGACAATACAGCTTCGGAATAATGTTGTAGCTAAAAGTCCTGAACAGCAAGATCTTGTTTGATTGCGATTTCTCCATCCCTTTGTTTAGCCCTTTGCAAAAAGGACACATTGCTTCAGTGAAGATTAATACCTATTTAAGGTTCACTATATTCATGGCTTCTTCCTTGTTCATCTCCTCCCACAAGTCGTGATCTTTGCGTGAATGCTAAGACATTGGATCATTTTGATGTATAATTTAATTACGGGCAGCTTATTGCTTTGTTGATCTAGAACAAGATTATCATGTGCCAAAGGCCTCCTAATATTGTGATGTACAGCTAAACCTTTCTATGTGTTGTTATTTTCGCGTTTTTATGCGATACGTTTTGCTTTCATTATCATTGTATGTGTTGTGCCCATGCTACTTTAGTAGAAACTGTTAATAACCGGGTAGAATTAGAAGTGGAAGCTTCTCTCAACATCCTATTTGTATGAAGAGCACTTTGGTTCTACTCTGCAACGACTTTGTAACACATTTATCAATAGAATTCGACATTACTTATGGTATCTTTCAGTCTATTATTTTTTTTTTGAAATATTGAGTGTAAAAATCTCGGTATCATAATTTTTGTTTTGAAGCGGTGATTCGATCAACGGTGATTTAAACAGCTACATATTAACGAAAAAACGAAAATCAATAGACATACCACATTCGCACATTTTGGATGAGTGGTGTTTTCGAAGTAGGAGAAGGACCTGTAGGTACCCGAAGAGGAACAAAAACTGAAGGTCTAATTGAATGCATCTAACTCATGCTCACATCCCCCAGGGGTGAGTAAATTTTTTTGTGGTCCATTCTATAATAAAATTTCGTTCCTTCGGAGGCTTGAACATGCTGCTGCTTGCTTTGCTCACTCTTATGTTTCATTTCATGCTCCGTCAAAACTATTTCGTTAAGGTGAAAATAACTAGAACATGGGAACATGAAGTGTTGAGGGAAGAATGCCAGATGCGTGGCGAAGAAGTTTCACTGTCCCGATTCAAGCAGAAGTGAGATGCATTGGAGTGTTTCAAATATTGCGAGATCAGGCTCACTGCGTATATCGTGAAGCTATACGAAGGGAGAGTCGACTCAAGACTGATCCCAATTTTAAAAGAGCAGTTCTTCATCATGCCTTAAGGTTACAGCAGATGCCATTTCTATAGCAAGACAAGTAATGGAGAAGAATCGAGGAGAACGTAGACCCGGCTACCTTGCCTTCCTCGATCTTGAGGTTTTCGACTGACGCGACCAGTCCGCCAGAGAGGCTCCGAGACATCCCGGAATACTTGATTTCCCTACTCAAGGTCGTGCACGATTGGTCCAAAACAACCATAAACACTCCTCATGGACTATTACAAGCAATGGATGTTAGAGTTGCAGAACAGAGAGCGGAGAACTAAGCCAGTGAGCAGGGAACTGCAGGATAATCTGCAGAAATGGCAGAAAATGCTGGCTGTGAATGGGCTTTAGCTAAATGTGAAGGAGACCAAGTTCCGCAGCTCCTCGGAGAGCCATTCGTCGACGGTTTTGCTTCCGATGGCAGCGTGGACCTGGCTGTGAATTCAGTAGTGTAGAAGTGGAGGGAGTCCAGTAGCATCCACTGCGACCGAAGGTGCTTTAGAACGCTCAGCAGGTGTACCGGCTGAGGACCACCGTGGTTTACGTCAGTGAGAGCTGGTCCGCAAGTAGAAAATATGAAAGACAAGTTCATTTCCGCTGAAATGAGGATGCTCAGATGGGCTGGACTGTACCGATCAGGAACGAGAACACCAGGGTGGTTATGTAAACAGCCCCTGCCCTGTTGGTGATGAGAGAGCACCATCTGCGAAGGCCAAGGAATGACGCGATAAGAAAGGCAATGGAGTTTGATGCGGAAGGAAAGCGACTAATTGAGGCTCCAAAGAAGAGATGAAGGGGCGTGATCAAGAACTACTTCTCCGAAGCAAAGATAATGACAGATGATTCCGTAGATAGGAAAAGTGGAGACAAAGCACGATAGGGAACCCTCAGATTGAGGAGGATTAACACCAGCGCGAGTAAAAAAATCACCAGAACACCACATTTTAAAGTGACGCCTTAAATGTGGTTATCAAAAAACACTTAAAATAGCACTACATTTGGAAGCATCGCCATGCACATCGCTAGCTGCGAAGCAACCAAAGGGGAATTCGTGGTCGGCAGTCGCGCCGGTTGTCGAACATGTGACGTAAATCTGAGTTCCGCCGTCCGTTGTGCAGGCTATGCAGTCTTGCTTGGATTTATTTCAAAACTATTTGGTTGCACATCCGCAATTCCTGTAATCAACCGTACCTGTGATTACTCTCGGCGAACCAGCTGGAAAAACGAAAGGAACTTTACCGAACTTCCGAAAGTTTCCAAATTCTTTCCCATGCATGCTGGTGTTCGCGACATATGTACTTCTCAACTTACCCCACTTAAAACGATTTCCAATTTTTCAGCTTTGTTGGTTATACACCAATATTTAAATTAAACGTATTTATACCGACTTGACACACATTGAACACATTAACATTGCTAGTAACAAAATATCCTGATCGAGGAACGGATGATTGAAACGTCAAGTGGTACCGATAAATGATGAATAAGCGAGAAGATGTAGCACAAACAACCAATACGCGAATCAGACTGCAGTACCACGCTCGAGGTCCTCCTAAACGAAAAAGGTAGAAAGTTTCACGAAATGCCGCACTATTCCACTCCAAACAGTTCTCTTTGATACACAGATATTAGTTGGTAAAGGAAAATTTAGTACCCGAGCGAAGTTGAAAAATACAGACATGAAAGAGCAGGGAGATTAAAAATGCAGTAATATAGGAGACTAGACCGGGCTCTCATTAACCACGACTCTTGGGAGATTCTACGATAGTAAGAGACACAAAAGGGCCAATTTAGCCTGTTTACCTTGATGTCCTCTGTATATTGTCCATAGAATTTCTCCAATTTCTTGTTGAAGCGCATGTTTTTATCGTTGATGTAGTCGATAGGGGCGTCAGGATCAAACAGACGTCGTCGATGGAATTGTTCACGACGTTTAGATCTAGACGTACACATATCGATAAAACAGGAACAGACCAAAAAGGGAAAAAGAAAACATCACGTACTGTCCTACAACGTCCTGAGCGAGTTTCTCCATAGCTGCAGATGTGGGGTAGTGAGAACCGTGGATCAAAGTGTTAGCAGTTGGATAAAATTGGTCTTCTCCTCTAAAAGCAACATTCACTAAAATACAAAGTTTTCCAACTATTCAAAATCTTCACTTACACTATCTCTCTCATTTTCTTGTAAGATTCGCTATCAGGTTTCAGATTGGTCGTCAGCCGTGTATGCTGACGAAGTGTCATGTCTTCGTAACCTCAAAATCAAAACTTTATGATGAAAGAAATCGAACTCAGAGTTTACCACAAGAAGGAAGGGAACAGGACACCAATATTATTGCTGATCCACATCAACACACGATCAAATGCCGATAAAGAAGATTTTAGGTGGTTTCTTAAGCAATGTAAAAATCATTGTTCTAATCTGTTCTCAACCAGAATTTACAAGCATTAGTGCGTTAGGTGACCAGCAAGACGAAATTCCCGATCTTGCCTCGATGAGCTGTAAGTATGAACGGAACTGACTTGAAAATCCTTGATCGGGATTCTTCTTTCGCTTTCTTTTCATTTCGACCCTTGCGGCAACGTCAGCTGGGGTATTGAGTGCTTTTAAACGTTCATAATCCAAGCCTGCTTCCTCAGCTTTCTGCAAGGGTACATCGTTACAGTTCATTAGGAAACGCTTGCCTTATCAGAACTTCAAAGTTCAGTGTGTGGGTGTGCAGAAATAATTCAAACTATGCAGTATTTAGCACTGTGACTGAAGTAGCTGTGCAGTAATTATTCTAACAATAACAACGCGATAAATCAGTTTTTGGTACTATTAACTCCTGTTTTGAACAGGCCGGCTCACACATTCGACTTCCATTCGAAATTGTAAGCGCACAACTATACATTTGTACAATGGAATGGAGTGGCGGTTAATTGAGTGGGTGACCTATGGATGAAACAGAGTTTCCACTCTCCCAGAAGAGTTGGATACCAAAAAAATGACGGCACAAAGATAGAAGGCTTGGTTGGCCTGAGCGAGTATTGTGGCACTATCCCAGGTCCAGCACAACAACAATGGTAAATGAAAAATTTTCTACATATAGATAGAGGAAGAATTATACCTTTCGCTCTTCCATTTCTTGTAGCTCCCATTCTTCTCGAGCTTTTTTCGCTTCATGATTTGTTGGTAGCTTGCTCTTCCTGTCTTCCTCGACAACTTGTTCATGGTTCGCTTTGCGCGATTGTTGCTGAATGCAGATAAAGATGAATATTCATTGTGAAAAGGTGTCTGTCAATGGAGAGATAAAACTAAGGTTTCCTGTACATACTCTTAGCTGATGAAGTTTTCTGAAACGCTCGTTAAAATCAACCGACGACCTCGATGATGAGGATGTACATGGCTTATCCACTGCAGCATCCATTACCTTAACAAATGATAAGTGATCGTAAAAATCAAATCCGGATAAGATGAAGGCAACCCTAACATAAAAACGCTATATCTTGAAAAGGCTAAAGCAAGCATACATACTAGCCAAAGGTTGTGCCAAGATTAAGAGAAAGCTGATCGTGGTATATCCTACGAAATTACTATACTATTTCATCTCTTCGTAATGGAATATAAATTGGCGTAGGAATGAAAAAGTATCAGAAAGAAATATTTTACACTTATTTCAGAACAAGCGCTAAACATCCCACGACCTATGAGAATGAACAAATATCCAAGCAGTCACACCTGCCTCCAGCACACAGAAACACTTAAGTATAGGACATATCCTCTCACCATGCACTGCGCGTACTAATTCTGATTCCAAATTGAATTGCACATATAAACAGACAACGAACTACGAAAAATGCAGGAGTAACGAAAATACATCACTGGCAATCGACTTGGTACGTGTGACCACCCGCATGATAAATGGAGAACTTAAAGGACGCCAGACCGGTCGAACACTGCCTACACGAAAGCGGCTGCGTCGCGCCCTTTGTATTGGGGCATCTTATTCCAAGGTGCTGTTTCACATTGTGCTCCCCCTTGTATCCATTATGTTCTGAAATTACATCTGAAACTTTACAACTCCTTGAACAAAGACGCGACGTTGAGTTCTACCAAAGGTGTAGACAACTGAATTTTCTGCACAATGTCTTGTTTCTTATTCCTCGTATATCCACCTGTTTTTTCGCCCCTCTGCTGCTTTAGACAAGTTATCGTTGTGTACAACGATAACTCGATTCTCGATCTCTGCATCGAGATCGTAAATCGCATCACATCGAGTACAGGAGGAGGGGCGCTTTCTTCAGCTGTATATCGAAGATGCTCTTCTCCGTATATGCTTTCTGCAAACAGCGCCTTTCTTCTAGTGTTTCTTCAAACGTCGTCTTTCTTCTGGAATTTGGCGAACTTTGGCTTTCTTCAGATGCGTGGCCTTACGCGGCTTTCCTCTGACATTCCATCCAGATGCGCTCCGTTCTTCAAGCGCTTCGTCCAAACGACGTCTTTCTTCCGTTTCTTGTGTTCTATCCAAATGCCTTCCTTTTTTTCGAATCCCATATTACCGTAGTCTTTGTTCGATGTTCTTCAGCAATCTCCTGTAAAGGTGGTCTACAGAGCGAGGGCTAAATCATGGTATAGTTCCCCGGGGACCGGTTGGTTAAAAGTTTAGACTTGTTTTGGTGGTACCAGTGGATGTGGAGAAGCAGAAGAAGGCTTAGTACCCACTGCAGGAAAATGGAGGTGGGAAAGATCGTCGTGGTTGCGCCGCAAAAGTCGACGTGAGTATTTGAAGCCGGCAGGGTCGGCGAGGTCATAACCGACAGGGTGAGTAGTTATAACGAAGAGCTTAACAAGTTGTGAAGGTGGTGTTCATTTTTGGCAATCGTGAAGTCGTGATCGGTTGTGTAGTGTTACCGCAAAAATGAAGAAATATATACTCGAAGACACAGGTGAGTGTAGTATTACGACCGGTTGGCCCAGCACAGAGACATCTGTTAACGCTATGTACGGCTATCTCCAATCCTCGGCATAATGCAAACGATGGTTTTCTTTGCTTGAACACGGACGAGGTTGATGGGGAAACTTTATTCCGGCTTACGTTTCGGCGTGGTTCGCCTTCTTCAGAGCCTGGAAAGATCGAAGCAATTTATGACTACACGACCAAACGCCTCAACTACCCTAGAAATTCGAGACCTCAGAGGTCATCATGCTATTGTAAGTTGGGCCACTTACCGTACATCAGTCTGATCTTCGCGACCACTTAGAAGCCAGCAGCGATCCAGTAAGCTCTTCAGACTAGATGTAATTCAGACTCACTGAAAGGAAGGCCAACCTTATATACTATCGCGGTAACACGCGATTTTTCGATAATTTTCTCATTAATTCAAT